GAAGATATGGGAAGGAGGGAGAAGAAGGGGGGGTCGGGATGATGGTGGCGGTGATGATGATGATGACGACGAAGACGACGATGGCGAGGGGGGCGATGGGACTGTGTGAGGGAGAGAGCGAGTGTGGGCACCCATGGGCGAGGTGGAGGAGGAGGAGGGCCTAGGAGGGCGAGGGCGACTCTAGGGCGAGGAGGGCCTAGCTTGGAGGGCCCATGGGCGAGGTGGAGGAGGGCCTGGAGGAGGGCCTGGAGGAGGGCCTAGGAGGGCAGTACCACCTCTGGCGAGGACGACGCGCGAGGATTTTATTATCAGTTATGAACCTTAATTCCTGGGTGCCAGATGCTGGTGGGCTAGGTGCCAGATAGCGCGGTTAGACAATATCTGCGCACTCGCCGCTGTCCGGCCTCTCGCTGAGCGCCCTCTGCGCAGGCCCCTCCGGCGCCACGAAGGACGCGATCGCCCGCAGGATATCTCGGAAGACAGGGCGCGCGCGGCTGGAGAGCACTCGGTCCCGCGGCCCCCCGCGCGCCATGATGTGCTCGAACCCCCAGGCCGCGTAATCCTTGAAGAACTGGTGGGAGTCGTCCGCCTGCTGGTCGGGATTGAGCAGCGTCTGCGGGCTCGACGTGAGAGCGAGCCTCTTCGTGAAGCCGCCGGGGCTGGGCCGCGCAATCCATTCCACAGACTCGCACTGGCCCGAGACGGCGTGGAGAAAGTTATAGCACATGCTGCGGTGGGCGCCCATCCCCGAGATGGAGTTATCCGTCTCGCAGTTGCACAGCGTGCAGGCCATGGCCCGGCTGACAGGATGTATGCCCATGGCCTTCTCGCTCCAGGGCGTCTCGTAGGTTCTGTTAGACTCGTTTGAGACGATGGCCAGCCGGCTGTGGTTTTTGATCGCCAGCCTCATGCCTTTCGGGGTACCGTCGTTGCACACAAACGCCTGCTGCTTCCACTCATCTGGGCCCGTGCCAAACAGGGTCTCGAAGAAAAACTTCTTCTTGGAACTCTTGCGCTTCGACACTTCGTTCCCCTGCAGGCATGGCAAAGTGGGCGCGCGGGCGTGAATCTCCTTCTTATGGTCTCGGAGGGTCGTCCCCGGCGTCTCCAGGAAGTTTGTGAACGCCATGAGATCCAAGAGCGCGGCCTCCGCTGGCCAGCCCCCCCTCGCGCAGAGCGCGCGGGTGGCGGCAACGAAGGGCGTGGGCGCCAGCAGGCGCACGCCGAACGTTGCGTCCGAGCCCACTTCGCGGTGGCTCCGGGTGTCTTGGAGGATCTCGGCGAGGGCGGCGTGGACGGTGGCCTCGACGGAGCCGAGGTCCTGGAATCCGTCCCAGAGGCCCTTGGCGTGCATCTCGCCCCACTCCGCTGCGGTGGCGCGCTGGAGGCGGTGGGAGATGTCACCTCCGGGATCGAGCGGGTCTTCGGTCGGCGGGTCCAGGCGCGAGCCGGGCCCATTGTGGCCCTCCTGGTACAGGACGATGCCGTGATAGGTGTCGCGCAAACCGGCGCTGGCAGGCGTCGCGGCGCGCGGGGACTCGCTGCCCCCGGCCACAGACCGCGGCGGCGTGCAAGGCGCGCTGGGGGAGCCGCTGGCGCCGCCCTCGGAGTCGCTGGCGCCGTCCTGGAGTACGATGGCCAACTGCGTGGCGTAGTCATCATCCAAAGACCCAGTGTCTATGGCAGCGGCGGGCGGCCTCGGCGGCGAAGCCGCGCGCCCCCCAGGCGGCGGCTGCAATGCGCTCGCCGCCCCGGGGAACTCCCGGTACTCAGCCCCGGGGAGCGCGTCCGCCACGGCCTGCATGGTACCCTCTTCCAAGCGCCACAGGGCCTGGCCGCCCTTGACTGGCGAAATGGGGGCGTCCAGAGCAACGGCCGCGAGGATGGGGTAGCAGATAGGCCCAATGTCCCATGGGCCAGGTTGTTCGCCAGGCGGCCGCGGTGCCCCGAGAAGCACCATCCCGACCAGGGCGCGTCGGGGCAAGCTTGGGTTAGCTGCAGCGTGGGGCGCCGTGCGCTGCAAGATCGCCTTCGCGTCGGGGCTCTCGTCGTTCTTCCCGATGTGCAGCCAGTGCCACCCCGGCCGAAATATCTTGCGATCCCTGTTTTCGCATGGTTTGCCGCCTCCGAGCATGAGCTCTGCCACCGCGGGGCCGAGGATGGTGAACGCCCTGTCTTCTGTGAGCAGAGTCGCGCGGAGGGCTGCCGGCGCGGCGGCCCCGGGACTGCCCGGGCATGCCGGGGAGCTGGCGGCCACCGCCAGCTCCTCAGCACCGGCCAGGCCCTCCGGCTCCTCAGCACCGCCCAGGTATGCCTGGGGGCTGGCGGCCACCGCCAGCCCCTCAGCACTGGTCGACGCCCCCGGGGTGCCCGGGTGTGGCGGGGAGCTGGCGGCCACCGCCAGCTCCTCCGCGGGTGCTGCATCCGCGCGGGGCGCGGCGGCCGCGGCATCGCCCTCGGCCTCCTCCTGGGGCAGGAGCTGGGCAGCGCCGGCGGGGGGCGCGCCCGCGCAGGGCGCGGCGCGCGGGGCTCCATCCGTGTGGGGCCGCAACTTGGCCAACGGCGCGGAGGGCTTGATGTCCAGATCGACGTGGCCCGGGGGGCACCCCTCCGTCTTGAGCACCTTGGCTCTGAGCCATCGCACGGCCGAGGTGCTCCAGTACTCCACGGCGTCGCCGACCTCGTAGTCATATTTTCGGACGGTCGCACCTTATCCGCCGACGAACCCTTCTTGCAGGCGAGGTCGTAAGACACAACGCCGTCCTTCTCGCGCACCGCATCCACAATGGTGTCGATCCATTTCCCATTTGGAGTCGCTCCAATATTGCACCTTGTCTCCCTCCTTGAAGGACACGTGCTGCCCCCCCCTGGGGGCTTCTTCCCCTTGGCCAGGCGAGGCCGCCCGCGCGCCAGAGGTCACCCGCGGCGTCTCCACCATCAGCGGCGCACTGGCCTCGGCGGCCGCCGCCTCGCCGCGGCCCCCCTCCTCCACGGGCGTCGACGTCGGGTGCAAGGCGCCGGCGGGGGCTGCATCTGGCGGGGGCGCGTCGGACTTGGCCTCGGCCTCGGCGGCTGCCGCGCCGCCCTCGACGTCGAAGGGCATCGCCTGCGGCCAGCACCGGACAGCATGAAAGATGCTCGGGAGCCAATTCAGGGCATCCGTGCTGGTGGGCGCTGGCTGCTCCAGCAGAGCGGCGGCCACGGTCTGCGCCCCCGAGCGAAGCCAGTCCGTCAGGCTCGGCCCGACCTGCTCCGTCAGAGGCCGTTGCCACACGGACGCCACGCGGTTGAACGCATCGTCCCAGTACTTGTGTGGGGGCGTGGAGTACCACTTGCACGCCTTGGCCTTCACAAGCAACATTTCGTGCATGGCCTGCCTATTCACTTGGAGCCTGAGCCAGTCGGGAAGGGCCGCCGAGACAGCACCCACCCAGTGCGAGTCGAGGGCGAAGAGAACTGTCGTGTCGCCTCCGGCGACGGCGTCGCGATCGGCGAGAACAACGCGGGCCCTCCGCGCCTCCTCGTCTCGCCTGGACTCCGCCTCCACCTCCTGTTCCAAACGCAAGGCCTGGAAATCGAACTCAGGTTGCCCCTGGGGTCCACGCCCCGCGCCGCCCGAAACGGGCACCATCTTTGAAGCCGCAGGCCGCATGCTTCGGGTACTTGTGCGACGCTCGGGACCCCCCCTGCCCACGGGCGTCGCTGGAGCCAGAGTGGCCAGAGAGCCCTGACGCCTGTCACCTCTTAGCCCTGACCCCTGCTCCTCCTCCTCCTCCTCCTACCCCTCTTCCTCCTCCTTCTCCTCCTCCTCCTCCTCCTCCTCCCTCCTCCCGCCACTCGGCTTCTTCCTCCGCCCCCGCACGGCGAAGCCGAGCCAGCGCGCGGGGCGGCCGGGCCGAAGGGTGCGGGCGAGGCAGAAAAGGACGAGGGCGACGACGACGACGACGACGACCATCACGACGAGGACAACGATGACGGCGACGGCGACGGCGACGACGACGGCGAAGACGACGACCACGGCGACGGCGACGACGGCCACGGGGGGACGGGGGGAACCAACATCCGCGGTCAGCCACCCAAAACAAAATGCACAAGAGGGAACAACATAAGATTGACATGCCCAGTGGCGGCTGCGCATGTCAATCTTATGTTGTTCCCTCTGGGGTTCTTTTTTTTGTGGCTGGCCGCACGTGTCGCTTCCCCCTCTTCGTCGTCGTGTTCGTCCTCTTCCTCCTCGGCCTCCTCGGTCGGCCTCGACCCACCCCCGGGGCGGCCGCATTCGCCCGCCCTTCCCCTCCTCTCGTCCTCGCGGCCCTGGGGGGAACAACATAAGATTGACACGCGCAGCCGCCGCTCCGCATGTCAATCTTATGCTGTTCAGTCTAGGGCCGCGAAGATGCGATGAGTAAGATGGCGGACGAACCCGGCCGCTCTCGGGCGGGGGAGGGACGGACGACCGAGGCGGAGGACGACGGGGACGAGAAAGGGGGGCGACGGGGACGAGAAAGGGGGGAATCAACATCCGCGGCCAGCCACCCAAAACAAAATGCACAAGAGGGAACAACATAAGATTGACATGCGCAGCGGCGGCTGCCCATGTCAATCTTATGTTGTTCCCTCTGGGGTTCTTTTTTTTGTGGCTGGCCGCACGTGTCGCTTTCTTGTGCGTCGCTTTTTCGCTTGTACTGCTTGTTCTCTGGGAGCATGATACTCTTTTTTTTCGCTTATAGGTGATTGTTGCTGCTTGATACGTGTCGCTTCTTCTTCGCTTGTCCCCCCTCTTCGTCATCGTGCTCTCCTCTTCCTCCTCGCCTCCTCGTCGGCCTCGACCCACCCCCGGGGCGGCCGCATCGCGCCCTCCCCTCCTCTCGTCCCTCCGGGCGGCCCTGGAGGGAACAACATTAAGATTTGACACGTCGCAGCCGCCGTCCCTACATGTCAATTGTTTGCTGTTCAGTCTGGCCGGAGTATCATGAAAAAAAAGAAAAAAAAAGAAAGAAAAAAGAGAAGAAAATATAAAGATAGAAAAGAGAGAAAGAAGGAAAGAAAAAAAAAAATAGCAAAAAAAAAAAGAAAAAAGCAAAAATGGCGGACGAACCCGGCCGCTCTCGGGGGTGAGGGACGGACGACCGAATCGGAGGACGACGAGGACGAGAACCGACGAATTACGAGGACGAGGACGAAGACGAGGACGCAGACGACGACCACGACGACGACGAAGACGACGACCACGGCGACGGCGACGACGGCCACGGGGGGACGGGGGGAACCAACATCCGCGGCCAGTCACCCAAAACAAAATGCACAAGAGGGAACAACATAAGATTGACATGCGCAGCGGCGGCTGCCCATGTCAATCTTATGTTGTTCCCTCTGGGTTTTTTTTTGTGGCTGGCCGCACGTGTCGCTTCCCCCTCTTCGTCGTCGTGCTCGTCCTCTTCCTCCTCGGCCTCCTCGGTCGGCCTAGACCCACCCCCGGGGCGGCCGCATTCGCCCGCCCTTCCCCTCCTCCCGTCCTCGCGGCCCTGGGGGGAACAACATAAGATTGAACACGCGCAGCCGCCGCCTCCGCATGTCAATCTCTGCTGTTCAATTCTTAGGGCCGCGAAAATGCGATGGTAAGATGGCGGACGACCCCGGCCGCTCTCGGGGGGGGAGGGACGGACGGTACCGAGGCGAGTACGACGGGGACGAGAAAGGGGGGCGACGGGGACGAGAAAGGGGGGGACCAACATCCGCGGCCAGCCACCCAAAACAAAATGCACAAGAGGGAACAACATAAGATTGACATGCCCAGTGGCGGCTGCGCATGTCAATCTTATGTTGTTCCCTCTGGGGGTCTTTTTTTTGTGGCTGGCCGCGCGTGTCGCTTCCCCCTCTTCGTCGTCGTGCTCGTCCTCTTCCTCCTCGGCCTCCTCGGTCGGCCTCGGCCCACCCCCGGGGCGGCCGCATTCGCCCGCCCTTCCCCTCCTCTCGTCCTCGCGGCCCTGGAGGGAACAACATAAGATTGACACGCGCAGCCGCCGTCCCACATGACAATATTTTGCTGTTCAGTCCGGGGCCGGGAAGATGCGATGAGCAAAATGGCGGACGAACCCGGCCGCTCTCGGGGGTGGGGGACGGACGACCGAATCGGAGGACGACGAGGACGAGAACCGACGAATTACGAGGACGAGGACGAGGACGAGGACGCAGACGACGACCACGACGACGACGACGACGCGACGACGACGACGACGACGACGACGACGAGGACGACGACGGACGACGAAGCCGACGACGACCACGACGACGACGACGACGACGACCACGACGACGACGAGGACGACGACGGACGGCGAAGCCGACGACGAGGACGACGACGACGACGACGGCGACGCCGACGACGACGGCGACGACGAGGACGACGAGGACTACGAGGACGACGACGACGACGACGTGCCACCTAGCCTGGGGTCGCACGCTCCAGAGAATGTACTGCCCAGCACTGCCTGCGTCCATGAGTCGACGGATCCAGGATGAGGTCGAGAGCCCTGGCCCAAGCACGGAGCCCGAGAGGCTCCGGGATCCAGGATGGGGTCGAGAGCCCCGGGTTCCAGCAAACTGGGATCGGATAGGCGATTTCCAAGCCACATGCGTCCGACGAACCCGTGGAGTCCGTTGTATCCACATCTCTAGGTCGTCGTCGTCGTCGTCGTCGTCGTTGTCGTCGTCGGCTCTGGGATGGGGTCCGAGGACGACGACGGCGCCGCCGCCCGCCGCCGCCGCCGCCGCCGTCCACCGCCGCCCGCCGCCGCGCCCCTGCGCCGGCGCCGCCGTGGCCCCCAGGCCGGCCGCCAGCCCTCCTCCTCCTCCTCCTCCTCCTCCTCCTCCTCCTCCTCCTCCTCCTCCTCCTCCTCCTCTCCTCCTCCGTCCTCCGTCCTCCCTCCTCCCTCCTCCTCCTCCTCCTCCTCCTCCTCCTCCTGCTCCTCCTCCTCCTCCTCAGTGTCAAGACGCTTTTGGAGCCAGGGGCCACATGTGACCCGTCGCCCATGCTCCAGGCGCTCGCCCTAGCTGTTGAGCAGCTCGGGTGGCGCAGCCAAGCGGACGGGGAGGCTGCGGGGGGTGCTGCTGCTGCTGCCGACGGGGCGGTGGGGAGAGGGACCCTCTTCGAAACGTGCTTGCATGACTCCATTTTCTATGCTGCGTCCTGCGTCCCCCTCCTCCTCCTCCTCCTCCTCCTCCTCCTCCTCCTCCTCCTCCTTCTCCCTCCTCCTCCTCCTCCTCTCCTCCTCCTCCTCCCCTCCTCCCCCTCCTTCCTCCTCCTCCTCCTCCCCTCCTCCTCCTCCTCCTCCTCCTCCTCCTCCTCCTCCTCCTCCTCCTCCTCCTCCTCCTCCTCCTCCTTCCTCCCGCCAATCGGTTTCTCCCTCCGGCCCCGCGCGGCGAAGCCGAGCCGGCGGGCGGGGCGGCCGGGCCGAAGGGCGCGGGCGAGGCAGAAAAGGACGAGGGCGACGACGACGACGACGACGGTCGGCTCAGAAGTGTTCCCTGGACTCGGATCGCACTACGGGGCCGTCATCGGGACACCACAGGGACACCATCGGGACGCCTTGTGGACACTGTCCCCCCGTGGCCGTCGTCGCCGTCGCCGTGGTCGTCGTCGTCGCCGTCGTCGTCGCTGTCGCCGTCGTCGTCGTTGGTTGCGTCGTCGTCGTCGTTGGTTGCGTCGTCGTCGTCGGTTGCGTCGTCGTGGTCGTCGTCGTCGTCGTCGGTTGCGTCGTCGTCGCCGTCGCCCTCCCCGGGCGTCGCCCTCCCGGGCGTCGTGACGCTTGTCGTCGTCGGTTGCGTCGTCGTCGTCGTTTGCGTCGCCGGCGCCCTCTCCCCCCCGTCGTCGTCGCCGCGGGCGTCGTCGTCGCCGCCGCCGTCGTCTTCCCCGTGGCCGTCGCCGTCGTCGGCGTCGCCGTCGCCGCCGTGGTCGTCCTTGTCGGCCGCCATCCTTTTGGCAATGAGCATGGGCCTCTTTCGGTCCTAGCGATAGCAATGGACTATGATGTCTCGGTTGCTGAACCTCTGGCCCTCTGGCCGCTTCAATGCTGAAGGAGGAAACTCGCACGCGAAGCCCTGCGTCTGCAGAAATCCTGCGGCCCCTCTCGGGCGCCCGGTGGCTCAAGTAACCTCCTGTTTCACCCCCTCTGCTTCCCCTCCGGGGGAGGGGTTCGGCGTCCCGGGATTGCGCGGCGCTGCGCACCCACCGTCAAGACAACTCCCCAGTCGAATGGTTTGAAACGGGGCCGGGGGCGGATGCGCGAAGCGGGGCTGATTTGATGACATTCTTGAAAGTCTTAACCTGTTCAAACACAGAAAAGGAATACTCGAACATTACAACCTTCACTCTCTTCGGCCATGTGTAAGATGCCAATATGCTAACCTCTGTACCCTCGATGTCCAATTTGACTGCGTCCACCTGAGTGTAAGTTTGCACTACATCGTCGATACTAATACTGGGGACCTTGATAACAGTACGGCCCCGCGTCGGGACGACAGAGTGTCTCCATGTGTTCGCAGGGTTCTTGCAAACGTGAAAATCAACATGGCCCCGCGCGCATTCGGAGTGCGCAACCACGGCTTGCCGGAGAACTGTCACCCCAAACCCCGATGTGTTCCGCTTGGCCAACTCATAATTGGGCACGAACGGTTCGCAAGCTATGACCTCTCGGGCTCCCTTCATCAGCGCGGCGATGCTGAACAGACCTATGTGGGCGCCGAGATCCAACCAGGCGCGGCAGCCCCTCGTGAGAGATCTGCTGTATGAACCCTTGTTGAAAATCTCCTCCTTGCACTTCGTGTCAGCAGTGCCCTTGCGAAGCAACACGCTGTACGGCCAACAGGAATACTTAATGAATTTGTCATTCGGGCCCTCCTCCTTGCACCATGGCACGCGCCGAGCCTTCAGCAGCGAATCAGGATTGCGTTGACACTGGATGTACCTCGTGTTATACTCCCCTCTGCTGAGCTTCGGCACCGCGGGATAAGAACTGTACAACTGTTTCTGCACGCGTGCAATTTTTGCCCGGGCTTTCTGCACAGCCCGAGCCTTCTGCGACAGTTTCGGTGCCATGGGCCGGTTGCAGAGTGTGCTCGGCCCCAGTGTCTGTCGCAGCCACTTGAGCCCCAATAGCTACGGAAGTATCATCGACTTGTCACGCAAGTACCTCGGGCGAATCATTAAAGTATGGTGCATCATCGATTTGGCACGCGAGCCCCTTAACGGCTCGGGTCGGGGCTGGTCGGGTCGGGCGGGCCCTACCGGGTCGGGTCGGGTCGGGTCAGCCAGACCCTAACGGGTCGGGTCAGGGCGGGTCGGGTCGGGCGGGTCATCAAAGTATGGAGCATCATGAAGGTGGCACGCAAGTACCCTAACGGGGCGGTTCGGGTCCGGTTGGGCGGACCCTAACGGATCAGGTCGGGCGGACCCTGTCGGGTCGGGTCGGGTCCGCGGGCGGGCCGTTAAAGTATGGAGCATCCTCGAGTAGGCACGCCAGTACCCTCACGGGGCGGGTCGGAAAGTCAGTCAGAAACTCCGTCAGTCAGAAAGTCGGTCAGTCAGAAAGTCGGTGGGAACATCGGCCGCGACTGCGGCGGCGGCGACGACGACGACGACAACGACGACGACGACGACGCCGACGACAGCGACGGCGGCGGCGGCGGCGACGACGACGAAGACGACGACGATAACGACGACGACGACGACGACGACGACAGCGGCGCCGCCGCCGCCTCCTCCTGCTGCTCCTCCTCCTCCTGCTCCTGCTCCTCCTCCTCCCTCCTCCTCCTCCTCCTCCTACCTCCTCCTCCTCTCCTCCTCCTCCTCCTCCTCCTCCTCCTCCTCCTCCTCCTCCTCCTCCTCTCCTCCTCCCTCCTCCGCCTCCTCCTCCTCCTCCTCTCCTCCTCCTCCTCCTCCTCCTCCTCCTCCTCCTCTCCTCTCCTTCCTCCTCCTCCTCCTCCTCCTCCTCGCTCCTCCTCCTCCTCCTCCTCCTCCTCCTCCTCCTCCTCCTCCTCCTCCTCCTCCTCCTCCTCCTCCTCCCTCCTCCTCCTCCTCCTCCTCCTCCTCCTCCTCCTCCTCCTCCCCTCCTCCCTCCGCCCCTCCTCCTCCTCCTCCTCCCCTCCTCCTCCTCCTCCTCCTCCTCTCCTCCTCCCTCCTCCTCCTCCTCCTCCTCCTCCTCCTCCTCCTCCTCCTCCTCCTCCTCCTCCTCCTCCTCCTCCTCCTCCTCCTCCTCCTCCTCCTCTCCGCTCTCTCTTGCCCGCGCGGGGCGCCTGTCACCTGTTAGCTGTGGCGCCTGTCACCTGTTGGCCCTGAGGCTTGTCACCTGTTAGCCCTGAGGCCGGCCACCTGTTAGCCCTGAGGCCTGTCACTTGTTAGCTCGGAGGCCTGTCACCTGGTAGCCCTGAGGCCTGTCACCTGTTAGCCCCTTCTCCCTTCTGCTCCTTCAGTGCCCTCCTTCCATCTGCGCAAACCCGTGCTCCTCCCACTGCCACTCCCCCTCCTCGTCCTCCTCCCCTTGCTCCTCTTGCTCCTCCTCGGCCTCCCCCTCCTCCTCCTCCTCCGCCTCCTCCTCCGCCTCCTCCTCCCCTCCTCCTCCTCCTCCTCCTCCTCCTCCTCCTCCTCCTCCTCCTCCTCCTCCTCCTCCTCCTCCTCCTCCTCCTCCTCCTCCTCTTGTTTTTAATCGCTCGAGCGGGAAATCTAAGCAAAATGCTCTCCCCCGCCGCGTATATGTCGATCGGGACCTCGGAGCTCCCCGCCCGGCCACGCCTGGGCGCCACGCCTCGGTCGCCGGGCAGGTCCTCCGCAGCCGCCCAGCCGCCCGCGGATGCGGAGGAATCGGCGCGCTGCCCGGCTCGCCCCCCTCGGAGCCCCCGGCCCGGCCACTCCCGGGCGCCTCGCCTCGGTCGCCAGGCAGGTGCTCCGAGGTTCCCAGGCATTCCGCGGACGCCGACGAGCAGGCGGCCACCGCCAGCTCATCGGCATCGGCGCTGCCACAGCGGCCTCAAGAAAAAGGCTCGTAGAGAGCCGCCATGGCGCCGCCCGCGTCGTCCAGGCCTTGGGCCGCCATAAGCCGCAGCTGGGCGGCCAAGTGGTCCATCCTCTCCGCCAGGAGCGGGTCCCCGTCGCACCAGGGGGGGGACCGGCCCACGTGAAAGTGCCTGTAGTTGAACCTGAGGATGGCGACATTACTGCACAAGGCGAACCACTCTGGACTGATGTTCCGAGCTTGGTCTGGAAACATGTCCAGCAGGCTGCTCCAGACGCGCTCGACCGAAACGGTCCCGCTCTGGACTGCGATGCCCGCTGCCCGGATGGCCGCGGCGGCATCGCGCCAGGCGAACAGGCCTTCCAGCCTGACGTCCTGCAGCAGACGTCTATAGTGGGTCTTCACCTTCGCGTTGAACACGCTGCGCACTCCCCTTACCCGCGCGGGCGCCGCCTCGCTCCTGACCATCCCCCTCCGGGCGCGGGTCAACTTCCTCCCGGGTTTGTACCACTTCCTGATGCGGCGGATCTCCCTCTTGAAGCCTGGCTGGTCAACGAAGTTGTGGAACCCGCTGGCAGGGTGCAGTGTGGCTCCCAGGCGCTTCGCCAGTCGCTCGAGAGTCCCTCGCGGCGGAAGCGCCTGGAACTCGTCTGTCCAGACGGGAGACTGCAACGCGCCCGCGGAGCCGAGCAGCTCCCGGAGCTCCCGCGCGGCCGGCGGGTGCAAGGAAACCTCCCAGCGGAAAGCATCCGCGGGCTGCTCCACGCCGAAGCGCAAGAGGCGCCGCGCCTCCTGCGAGGGCCGCGGGGGCACAGCCCCCAAGGTTGGCGCTGGCGGAGGGGGCGCGGGCGCGGACAGGCGGTTCAGAGCGTCGGTGTGGTCGGCGATGAAATCGCGCCAGTCGTTGCACGTCGGAGGGGCCAACTTCCTCAGGGCGATGACGTCATGCCGCGGGTCGCCCGTGATCTGGGTCGGGCACGCGTCCACGTCCGCGGTGCCAGTGGCGTCGCCCAGCGGGGTGCGCGCGAGCACGCGCGCGTGCAACTCCGGCCACTTCTGCCTGTGCAAGGCCCGGAGCCGCTTGCGCTGAATCCGGAAGTTGTCCGTGGCATGGAAGACGGGGGCGCACGCCTCGGGCGGCAGTCCTGCAGCGAGGCGGGTTGCTTTGATGCGGTCCAGCAGCGGCGCCAAGTCTTCGACGATGGAGGTAAGCGTCTCCCCGCGCTTCAGGGTCACGGGCTGCAGCAGGCTACCGTCCGTCCCGGCCCACGCCAGGACGACTGTGAACGGCCGCAGGTGGAAGCGCCTGCCCCAGACAGGAAGGCGCGCTCGCTTCGCCAGCTTGAAATTCCCGTCGCCTCGGATCACCAGACCTGGGGGCCCGCCTGATCTTCCAGCCCTTTGGCAAGCGATGTGCTGCCTCCCGCCCTGCCCCCCACCCCCCCACCCCGCCCCGCCCCCCGGGGGGTCTCGCGGGGCATGTGGTCGGAAGGTCGGCGGACCATTGTACAGGCACTGGAGGCGCTGTACACGGGCCACAGCTTTGTCCAGGAAGTTGCCGAGCGCCACCTTCAGCATTGAACGCAAGGCACCAGCTGGCGGCACCGCCGTCACGGCGGCAACCGCGCCAGAGCCGAGCTGCAAAGATAAAGCGTTGGCAGCGTACAGACTGAGGATCCTGCGACGGACAGCGCGGGTGTTCAGCTCGTCGTAGAAATTCTGGACGACGAACGTCAGGAAGGCCGCTGTCATGTAGATCGGTGCGCTCCGGGGCGGCCGGTGGACGAGGATGCCGGGGAACGCGCGGCGTATATCCTCGTCTGCGACGGGAAACGTTCGCCCGCAGACGTCCCGAGAACAGCGCCAAGGGCGCGCGTCAAACGGCAACGGGAAGGGAACATCGAGGATATAGCGGACTTGCACAACACGATCGGTTCTTGGTTGGGCGCCGTGCGGTTTGCCCATGGCGGCGCTGGCGGCCGCGTGGCCCCGCAAAGCCTGAGGCTGGATTTCGGCCACGCTGCCGCAAAGCTGCGTCGTCTCTGCGGGGTCCCGCGGCGCCGCAACGCGCGCGGCCCACTGGTTCGCCAGGCCGCGCGCGGGGGCGAACTCACTGCTCGAAGTTGCGCCCTGGGCCTCCAAGGGGGCGCGCCGCTGGAAATGGACGCTTGCGCCCCTGCCAGTCTCGTTTGGGCTGGGTGCGAAGGAAGTGTGCACCTCCGTCAAGGATCGCGCGTCCACCGTCCGCGCGTCGCGCAGGCGCGCGACCCAGCCATCTCCGCCCCTGTGCAGAGGCACGACGTCTGCGCGCGGGACGCGCCATCTCGAGTACACCGCGAGGACGAAGACATCCTCACCGTGCAGCCGCGCAGAAACGCCAGCGGCCAGCTTCTGGGACTGCGGCGCCATTTCGCCGACCGCTTCAGGGCAGGGGAGCGAGCACTGCATCAACTGATGCAGAACTTCGGCGGTTCTCCCTGCAGCCACCCGCGCGACGTCGTCTCCCAGCCGCCCAGCGGTCTGCCGGGGATTGCACGGCGGGCCGCTGGCCTGCGGCGCACTCGCAGGATCAGCGGCGGAACCTCGGCCCCGCAAAGCCCGAACGGCAACGCTGTGGACGAGCGCTCTGGCTGTGGACGACCGGGGTGCCCGCGCTGTGGACGAGCGCTCTGGCTGCGGCGGGGTGACCGTGGCTCTCCGCGTGCCTGCGTCTGATCGACGCCTGCGCGGCGACCTCACGGCCCACGGCGCATGGACAGATGGGCGGCGCCACCGCCGTGGGGACGGCCGAGGGGCGGCCTCCGCTGGCCCTCCAGCGAAGTACGGATCCCACGAGACCCCGTGCTCGAGCTGGCCCCCCTCCGGGAGGTAGGGGTCCCACACGGCCAGCTGATGGCGTGCCGGGGGGCTCCGGCTGCGATCCGCCATGGGTCGAGCCAGAATGGCTAGGGGTGCTGGCGGGTTCGGTGATGACGGGGCTCCTCGTCGGTCCTGTGACCCCCCCTCATCACACATCGTCCCATTCACTCCTGCTCTCCGCTACTCTTCCTCACTCCTCCTCCCTCCCTTCCTCACTCCTCATCCGTCCTCCTCCTCCTCCTCCTCCTCCTCCTCCTCCTCCTCCTCCGCCTCCTCCTCCTCCTCATCATCCTCATCCTGCTCCTGCGTCCTCCGCAGTCACTGCTGGATTCCATCGTGGAACTCTCGGGGGCGGGGCGCTGTTTCAAAAGATTTGCTCATGATCCGCCGCCCGCCTGCCACCACGCCTGGGGGGGGTGTCCCGAGAGGATAAGGGGAAAGACATGCTGGCCAGCGTGGGCCCCAAACAATGTGCTCTGGCATGCTAGGTATCGCAAGCTATACCTGCGCAAGCTATGTGGTGCAAGCTGTGTGGCGGAAGCTATGTGGTGCAATGTACGTAGTGCAAGCCACGTGGTGTAAGATATGTGGTGCTCTCCGTGTGGCGCAGTATGACTTGAGTGGGATAGGTGGTGTAAGCGGTGGTGCGATATTTGTGGTAGGTGGTAATGACCTCATCTTTTTTTCCCCTTCCAACAACGCAACGCACTAGAGCAAGGAATGGGATCAGCCCGCAGGCCGTGAGGGGAGCACACGATGTCCAAGAGACTACACGCCTGAAATCGCGGATAGGCCGGTACACCCAAAATGAGGATGTCAATCTTATGTTGTTCCGGCTTGCCGCCTCCCGCATGCACGAACATGGACAAATCGAACACATAAAGTGGCTGGCCGGGCTGACGTCACCACGTTGGGGGGGAAAGCGGAGGAGGAGGAGATGAAGAAAGGCCAACCACTTTATGTTTTCGATTTGTCCATGTTCGTGCATGCGGGAGGCGGCAAGCCGGGACAACATAAGATTGACATCCTCATTTTGGGTGTACCGGTCTCTCCGCGATTTCAGGCGTGTAGTCTCTTGGACGTCGTGTTCTCCCCTCACGGCCTAAAAAAAAGGTGGTAATGGCCTCATCTATATGGGGTAATATATGTCGTGTAAGCTAGGTGGTGCCACAGGTGTGGTGCGGTCTACCGGGTGCGATTTATGTAGTGCAATCTGTGTAGTGCACTTGCGCCCTTGCGCCCTTGCGAACTTGCAGCTTTGCACCCTCGTACCCTCTTACCCTCTTAACCTTGTGCCCTTGCCGCTAAGGGAGGAGCCCTGCTCCCTTGCTCCCTTGCTCCCTTGCTCCCTTGCTCCCGTAGCCGCTAAGGGAGCAGCCATGCTCCCTTGCTCCCTTGCTCCCTTGCTCCCTTGGCCGCTAAGGGAGCAGCCCTGCTCCCTTGCTCCCTTGCTCCCTTGCTCCCTTGCTCCCTTATCTAGCCCTGCTCCCTTGGCTGAGGGAGCAGCCTTGCTCCCTGGCTCCCTTGCCCCCTTGCTCCCTCAGCTAGCCCTGCTCCCTTGCTCCCTTGCTCCCTTGCCCCCCCCCCTTGCTCCCTTGCAGCCCCTCTTGGAACCCTCGGAGGCTTTCTGGAGGGCCTTTGGAACCATCTTGGAGCCCTCTTGAGTCCTCGGGCCGTCTTGGAGCTATCCTCGGCCGTTTTGGGGCGCTCCTTCGGCGCCCCCCGGAGGGGCGGTATGTATTAGAAAATAAATACCTCCCTCTTGGGCGGCCGCGGAGGAGCGGAGGGGGAGGGCAGGGGAGAGAGGGAGGAGGGCACGGGGGAGGCGGAGGAGGGAGGGGAGGGGAGGGCAGGGAGGGGGGGGAGAGGGCACAAGGGGGACGAGGGGGGGGGGGCGGGGAAGAGGGAGTGGCAGGGGCCTTGCACCGTTGCACTCTTGCGCCCTTGCCCATACACCCTAACGACGTTACACCTGTACCCTCCCAGGGGTGGGGCAAGGGAAAGCTAAGGGAGCAAGGGAGCACGGCTGCTCCCTTAGCTAAGGGAGCAAGGGAGCAAGGGAGCAGGGCTGCTCCCTTAGCGTCTAAGGGAGCAAGGGAGCAAGGGAGCAGGGCTGCTCCCTTAGCGGCTAAGGGAGCAAGGGGGCTAGGGAGCAGGGTTGCTCCCTTAGCTAAGGGAGCAAGGGAGCAAGGGAGCAGGGCTGTTCCCTTAGCGGCTAAGGGAGCAAGGGAGCAAGGGAGCAGGGCTGCTCCATTAGCTAAGGGAGCAAGGGAGCAAGGGAGCAGGGCTGCTCCCTTAGCGGCTAAGGGAGCAAGGGAGCAAGGGAGCAGGGCTGCTCCCTTAGCTAAGGGAGCAAGGGAGCAAGGGAGCAGGTCTGCTCCCTTAGCTAAGGGAGCAAGGGAGCAAGGGAGCAGGCCAAAAATTAAAAGGACCCGGATTCCCCCTACAATGAAAAATCAACCTTATATCCCGCCCAAGGCGGTGGATGAAGGAGTAGAACGGGTATGTGATGTGCACAATCCCGGCCCGTTGCCCCTTGGGAAGCAGGGGCCCGTGAGGGTCGTGCTGGCCCCCCCCCCGCTGGAATCAGGGACTATCGCGCGGGCCAGCCGCGCGCGCCAGGACGGCCACTTGGGCCAGTCCTTGAGCCACAGCGCGCCTCGAGGACCTCAAAACATTTATGCATGAGTGTGTTGTTGATTTTTGAATAGCTCTCCATCTCTCTCTCTCTCTCTTTCTCCTCCTCCTCCTCCTCCTCCTCCTCCTCCTCCTCCTCCTCCTCCCTCCTCCTCCTCCTCCTCCTCCTCCTCCTCCTCCTCCTCCTCCTCCTCCTCCTCCTCCTCCTCCTCCTCGTCCTCTTAGCCTCGGTGCCCACCCCCGCCCCCAGAGCGAACGACTCGCAAGAAACCCCTGCCCAGCGGCGGGGCCACCCGGCTCAGGGACGCAATCCGGCGTCGACGAGGACGCCGCGGAAAGGCGAGCAGCACATCGCCGTCGAGGAGCAAACGGGCAAAAGGCACCCCCCTCACCGAGAGCGCGGGAGGGGAGGAGGAGGAGGGGGAGGAGGAGGAGGAGGAGGAGGAGGAGGAGGAGGAGGAGGAGGAGGAGGAGGAGGAGGACATTCGAGGACATTCGAGCGAGGGGCTCCGCGGTCGACTCGGCCGTCGCGGCCCCCGCCCGCGCAGGCCGCGCGGGCCCTTCACAGGAGCAACTTCTGGTGCTTCTGGCCTGCCTTCGAACGCATGCTGGGGAGGAGTGATGACAAGAAACGGAATCGTGATGCTCTACACCCAAGCCTCCACTGAGGCAGTGGCTCGACGAGGTTGCCCGACAGCGTGTTTGAGACCTGGGATACGCCCATTACGCACAGCCCGCAGACAGCAACTCCATACTCCCAAAAGGCGAACCAGAAGGGCGAATGCCATAATTGTGACCGTGGGCTTGGTTAACACACTTGCACCAACTTGTACGGCCGCCAGACTGCGCCCCGCGGCCTCTTGCCACGGTGTGAAGACTGCACGAATAACGCACCAGATGAAATGATAACAATTGAAGAAACGCAACAATTGACCCACCCACCAGTGCTTGGCTCACGAGAGCAAAACCGTACACTCCCTAAGCGTTGTTGGGAGATACTCGAACTGTAGCTGATGTTGCCGCAACGTTGACCACAGCCGTGAAGTGCAAGGCGGGGCGCTCGTTGATGAAGACGTGCGCCTCTCTCGCCCCTGCCCACCACGTGATGTGAGCCTCCGTCCCGTTGAGCATGAAAGACAGACCACCCCAATCTCTTCCACAACTCAAAATATATAATATGATACAATACCCTCCCTGCGGCTTTGGGTGATGCCCGAACAGTAGCTGAAGATGACCGGATTCGGCACCGACCGAACTGAGAAAGCACCCCCAAAAATGCAAGGATATTGCCGTAGCCTTGTAACACAAACCGATTGCACTTATGCGGCGGCTTCTCGCTCCCCCTCAAGTGCGGGTCAGAGTCAGTGCGCCTTCAGCGAAACACACCCCTGACGGTACGCGGCAATCGGCACCTCGGCGGAAGGCTGGTTGGAGCCAAAACAGACAAGCCTGGGCCGAGATGTTACTTGAGGGAGGAGGAGGAGGAGGAGGAGGAGGAGGAGGAGGAGGAGGAGAAGGAGAAGGAGGAGGAGGAGGAGGAGTACGACGACGACGACGACGACGGGCTCCCCACCCACCTCCCCTCCCCTCCCCCACCCTCCCGTCCCCCGCGCTCCCGCACACCGATCGCAGGGCGCGGGCAAGGAACCGAATGCTACTCTTCTGGGCTGGGCCGCGGGGGCACGGAACCGCCGGGCCCGCCTGCCGTACATCTCGAGGAAGCGCGGGACCGTGTCGTAGCCCAGCTTCAGCCTGCGCTCGCGGACGAGGGGATGAGAACGGAGGAGAGCGAGCGATGACTATCCTCCTCCTCCTCCTCCTCCTCCTCCTCCTCCTGCTCCTCCTCATCCTCCCAAGTGGTTGGATCCTGGCTCACGTGCCTGGGCAAAGCTGCCCCGGGAGGGAGGGGACACGAATTGGGTAACCTCACCGGTCCGGCAGGCGGTTGGAAGAACTGACCCGTTGCCTGTTCTACTGGGTTCTGAATTCTGAGATGCAAAGATCTGGATTCCTTCCCCTGCTCCCTCCCTCTGTCAAGTTTGCGTGCTGGCCACTGGCCACAGGGGCCGCGCGCCGCGAGGTTGCGCGGTGTGTGGGGCGGGAGGGCATGCGCATATGAAGATCGCAGGAGAGGGGTCCTAAGGGAAACGGGTCCTGAAAATAACTCTTCGTTTTTTTGGGCCCCCGGGGCCCTCCCCAGGCCCCGTGGCAACCAGAGAGCAAATCAAATTCAAAGGGTGGTCCTGGGGACACCTCTAGAGTCCAGGACCCGTTTCCCTGAGGAACAGTCTTCTTGACACAATGAGGAGGAGGAGGAGGAGGAGGAGGAGGAGGAGGAGGAGGAGCAGGAGGTGCAGGAGGAGCAGGAGGAGGTGGGGGGAAGGGAAGGTCAACTAGCATCGAACCGGAAAACCACATCGAATCAGACTGTGTGTCGGGATCGGGCTGCATCGGCACAGAAACGACATCGAATCGAATCAGCAACACCAACTTGCACGGCAACGCATGCTGACGTCGGGCCGCATCGATTCGTCGGAAAGCTCAGGGATCGAAACAGATCGAGCTGGCCAGGATCGATATCTGGTCGGATCGTCGCATCGACAAAGACCCTTGGAGATGGGAAAGGGGGATCAGTAAACGATGGGTGTTGATGATGGATGGGAGAAGGGCGTAGTCGGGGCAGGAAGGATCATGCTGCCGTGACCTGCCCTGGGAGGGGTCGAGGCATCAGCGCAGCCGCTCACGCTGATGGATCTGAGAAGTCGAACAGCAGAGCAGCGCGACGGCGCCATCCGAAGTAGTGTGTTCCACGCCGACGTGCCCAAGGCATGTCGAGCCCAATCATCTGCATGCGACCTACAATCGCGCCTTCTTCTGACTATTCACATCCAGTCACTGCTAGCTGTGTCAAGTGGCCCCACGGATAGCCCACGCTGCGAGCTTGAAGGATTAGCGTTGCGTGGAAGCGCAAGTGTTCATTACTTGCGGGTAACAACGCGCTGTGTTCTACCAACTTGTGCTTAGCGGGCGTTGCTGAGCAACGCTGTGGCTTGGTGCATGCAAACTGGGTTTGCCACTGGGGGTATGCAACCTGGGTTACTGAAACACCTGCTGCGACGCCTGAGCTAATCAATCTGGGACAGGCAATCTTGACATCCAACAGAACATGAGCATGGTGAGCCTGGGCTGAATCTGACGGTGGAGCTGGAGCTCGAGCTGCGCAGGAGCTCGGCTGGAGCTGGGGCTAGATCTCGGACTGGCGCAGAGAATGTAGTGAAGCTGTAGCTGGAGCTGGATCCTGGCTGAACCCTGCCAGGAGCTAGACTTGGAACTGGAGGTGGGGCTAGGGCAAAGCTGGAGCTGGGGCGGCTGGAACTAGAGGTGGGGCGAAACTTGAACTGGTGCCGGAGCTGGAGGTGGAGCTCGAGCTGGGGCTAGAGCTGCGAGTGGGATGGATCGAAACTGGGGCTGGAACTGAACCCAGGGCTGAGCTGTTGTTGGTGCTGGAACTGTAGGGGGAACTGGAGCTGGAATGGAGGCTGGAGCTGAGGCTGGAGCGGAGCATGAGTTTCACCTGGACCTGGGGCTGGAGCTGGGGCTGGAGCTGGGCTGGAGCTGGAGCGAAGTTGGAGCTGCAGCTGACGCTGGGCTGGAGCTGGAGCGCAGCTGGAGCTGGGACTGAAGCTGGAGCGAAGCAGATATATCTGGATAAGGATGTCGAACTGGATATAAGCTGGATCTGGCGCCGAGGCTCGGGCTGGAGTCGGAGCTGGTGCCCAGGCTGGAGCTGGAGCTGGGGCTGGAACCAAGGCTGGAGCTGGGCTTGACGTCAAGCTGGAGCGTGGGTGGCTTTCGGAGCTGGAGCTGGGGCCAGGGCTGTCGCGTGAGACTTCGGCGAAGCATGCGCCCACGAGGCTAATAGACTGCAACACTAAGACGGATGGAGGTTATGAGCTTATCAAGAGGGGGATATCCCTGGGCGTCCCTCAACTGGAGGGAGGATCCTTTACACCAGGCGCCCTCGTCTGACTGGCGGACCGAAGGTGGGGCGTCCACAGTGGAAAGGAAGACTGTATGGACTTTTGAGGAAGGGTCTTGGGACAGAAGGGTGTATTGCATTATCGGTTGATGCATCTTGGGTTTACTCGTGCCCTCCACCTCCTCGTCGTCCTACTACTCTTCTTCCTCCCTGTACTGTGCCGCCTTCTCTGCCTCATACCCTCGCTCGTCATCATCCTCGTCCTTCTTCTCCTCTCCCTTATCCTTCCCAGATCACTACTAGCCTTCTTGTCCGCCGCATTTCCCTCAGCGCCTCGTCCTCCTGCTCATCATCCATGTCTACCCTCGTCTCATCACCGTCCTCATTATCATGCTCCTCCTTGTTCTCGTCCTATCCTACTGCTCAGCCCTCCGTACCTCCCCGTACCCCACCCACCAAGAGCAACACTATGCATACAAACTGTTCGCACCGTCCGTTCTTCACGGCACGGCTTAAGGGGGGCGGGAGAACTGGTATCGCCGAAGCTCATAGATGGCGTCGGAGGATGCCTGGGCGCGCTGGTGATACTGCTACCAACACGCTGCCTACCTTCCTCCCGTCAGCCAGCGGTAACACTGTCTGCTGCAACTTCTCCGCCCCGCGCCTCGCCGACCACGTGCTCCTGCATGCGGCTGCCTCTGAGCGCCCCCGCCTAGACCCACTGCTTCCCTCGTGCGCCTGAGACACTTGTATGCTACGCAACCGTTCTGGACAAGAACGGGAAGCGCTGCTTCTCTTAGCTTGCGTGCGCACGAGCGCATGGATCTGCAACCAATGCGCATGCGTGCACATGGGTGCAGTCGCCAAGTTCCCCTTAAGTGCCCAGATGGTCGCCATTGGTAGCTCGTGTTTAGTGGATGCCTGCGGTTGCGTTGGTCAGGTATTGCGCGTGGCCTATGCTTGTGTGTGTGCGTATGTGCATGTGCATGTGTGTGCGTATGTGCATGTGCATGTGTGTGCGCGTGTGTGTGTGCCTGTGTGTGCGCGTGTGCGCGTGTGCGCGGGAATATACATGGTGTGTGCCAGGGAGGCGGGGGGAGGAGATGCACGGTGTGCGTACGGGGCGTGTGCCTGGCGGGCGGGCGGGGGGGGTGTACGGTGTGCGCACGGGGTGTGCCTGGCCGGCGGGCGGAAAGGGCGCATCGTACGCTTTCTGTTTAGTGTATGTGGTGTCGGAGGTTGAGGGGTGAGATCGCAGTGGAACGGAGACCCCCAACCGGGACATCGTTCCGTTTCGTTCGTGTCGTGCGTGCGGGCGAGGCGAAGCTGCGTGGGCGCGCGAGAGGGATGAACCCGCCGTTGCTGGGGCGAAATCAAGACAAATGATTCTCCCCCGTCCGTCCGTCCGGCGGTGGCTCGCGGTGTCCCGCGGTGTCCCGTGGTGTCCCGTGGTGTCCCGTGGTATCCGCCGTTGCTAGGGCGAAATCAAGACAAATGATTCTCCCCCGTCCGTCCGTCCGGTTGTGGCTCGTGGTGTCCCGCGGTGTCCCGTGGTGTCCCAAAAAGTGAGAACGATAGTGAGATCGATTGTGAGATCAATAGCGAGATCGATAGTGAGATCAATAGCGAGATCGATGTGGTGCCCCGAGGTGTCCCGTGGTGTCCCACAAAATGAAATCGATAGTGAGATCGATTGTGAGATCGACACGTGTCCCGTGGTGTCCCGTTGAGTGAGATCGATAGTGAGATCGATCGTGAGATCGATGTGGTGTCCCGAGGTGTCCCGCGGTGTCCCAAAAAGTGAGATCGGTAGTGAGATCGACAGGTGTCCCGTGGTGTCCCGTGGTGTTTCGTTGAGTGAGATCGATAGTGAGATCGATGTGGTGTCCCGAGGTGTCCCGTGGTGTCCTATGGTGTCCCGTTGAGTGGGATCGATAGTGAGATCGATAGTGAGACCGATAGTGAGATCGAGAAATGTCCCGCGGTGTCCCGTGGAGTCCCGTTGAGTGAATAGGTACGTCGGTACTGCACAATTGTGACGTGCAAAATCGCGAACTTGTAGAAACACAACAGCTGATCGTTTGTGCGCAATGGGCTCATCGCCGCCGGGGCCAGCAGATTCGGCGCGCAAGGCCGATCGAGTGCTGAATCCGCGGGAGCAGCGCCGCAGAAGCGCTGGAGACGCGCCTCGGGCCCCCCAGCCAAGTGGGTGGAGCGCGGGAGGGAGAGCAGAAGACGCGGATTCGGCACGGAATCGGCCCTTGCGTGCCGAATCCGCAAGGCCCGGGAGACGCAGATTCGGCACGCAATGGCCAATTCCATGCCGAATCTGCGTCTCCCGCGCTCCCCTCGCTTTCCCCCTGTTGGTGGGAGCCTTGGGGCGCGGGAGACGCAGATTCGGCACGCAATGGCAGATTCCATGCCGAGTCTGCGTCTCCCGCGTTCCCTCCGGCGCTCCCCCCGTTGGTTGTGGGCCCCAGGGCGCGGGAGACACAGATTCGGCACGCAATTGCCAATTCCATGCCGAACCTGCGTCTCCCGCGCTCTCTCCCGCGCTTCCTCCGTTGGCCTCGGGGCGCGGGAGACACAGATTCGGTACGCAGTGGCCAATTCCATGCCGAATCTGCGTCTCCCGCGCTATTTCCCGCCCCCTCCCCCGCGATCGAGCGCCGAAGCGCGGGAAACGCAGATTCGGCGCGCAATGGCAGATTCCATGCCGAGTCTGCGTCTCCTGCGCCCCTTCCGGCGCTTCCCCCATAGGTTGGGAGCCCCG